CCTCTGTCATTAACAGAACAGGGCCCGCACGGGTGACCGCTGTGGCCAGGGTCGCTCTTCTGCTGGACAGAAGCCTCCTGTGGGCCAAGATGCTTGATCCCCTGGAGTCCAGCGCTGTCCTACATGCAGACTGATGCCGCCTTAGCTCATCTTCCACCCCCTCCTCCGTCCCCTGCCGCTCCCCACTTCTGCCAACACTGCTACCTCTGCCTGGCGTCTTGGCATCCTCCTGGCCATCCAAATCCCCTGCCCCGAAGGGCCTTGGGCAGGTAGGCGCTCCCAGCCCCCGCCGCCCCACTGCAGCTCTCCCCGTCTGAAGTCGGAGAAGCAGCTGTGTTCGTTGGTGGATCTAGTGCAGCCGTGGGCAAACTACGGCCCGTGGGCCGGATCCGGCCTGTTTGAAATGAATAAAACTAAAAAAAAAAAAAGACCGTACCCTTTTATGTAATGATGTTTACTTTGAATTTATATTAGTTCACACAAACACTCCATCCATGCTTTTGTTCCGGCCCCCCGGTCCAGTTTAAGAACCCATTGTGGCCCTCGAGTCAAAAAGTTTGCCCACCCCTGAGTGAGACAGACCTGGGTTTGAATTTGGGTTCGGCCATGTACCAGCCCTGAGACTTGGGCAGGTTACTCCTTCTCTGTCAGGACGATTAAGTAAAACAGTGAACTCGAAAGCCCCCAAAGCCACACCTTAGAACTCTCTTGTTTTCACAGCTGCTGTGCTCTGCTCTGAGCATGCTCACGTTTCAGCTTCCCAATTAGACTCTAAGCTCCAGGAGCGCAGGGAGCTGCGTGCCCGCCACACCTGTCTGCACAGTCCCGCACAGCACGCTCTGCTCACTGGGAGGTCGGCCGATGCCCGCTGGGCCCACAGGCTCAGGCAGGGAACACTCTGCTCCAATCAAAGCTCGGGGGTCTGAGCCCCTTGGAGAACCGTCCTGTCAGGAGCCACACTTCCTCTGAAAGCAAACCCTCCACGTGGTGGGTAGGAGCTCCGAGGGCACCCCCACGGTCCCTGGGGTCGTCCAGGTCAGCTGCGATCTGTCCCTGGGGTTCTCACTGAGCCTTTAGCTGTGCCCTGAGCTCCCAACAATCCTGGGAACCCCATTCCCTTTCCATAGACAGCCAGGCCAGATCAGGATGTTCAAGAAGAGTTGTAGAAGCTATGGGAGGACAGAAAGCAGCTATGCCAGAATTCACAAGAGCAGAGCATGTTCAGGTTTAAAACTCCAGTCTCCAACTTCCCCATTCTGGAAAGCTAGAGGGCAGGGGGAAGCGCCCCAACGCCCGTTACCATCCCCACTGCCCAGGCCGGCACTGTCCTGCCCCTTCCCTTCCAGTGCCAGGTGCCACACATTTTGGCCCGTCTGGAGCCATCTCCATGGACCAGCACAGAGGCCGGGTCTCACCTGCGCTGCTCAGCCCCACCCAGGCTGCAGTTGATTTGCTGAAAATGGTGATGGACCCCCACCCCCACTCGCTGCGTCCAATGCACAACTACTGACCCATGTGCAGGCCTGGTCATCCAGAAAGCCTTGGTACAGGCCCTCGGCCACCACAAACATCAGTTGCTATGGCAACAGGAAGGGTCACTCCATCAGATGTCAGCACACCATCTTTGGGACCTACTGTCTACAGAAACTGGGCGTCCACTCCACCGGGAAGCTTAGTGGGCACATTCGCCAGACCCCACATTACATTCACCTGTGACTGACTTTATAATCTTGGGCGATGTTTTAGTTTAATCTCCTGATCTGATAGCGCCAGGAGGCTTAAAAAATGCACTGTTTGCTTAGATCCCACCTGGCTCTCATGAAGCGGAAGAGGGAGACAAGAATAAGCTGCTGCGTGATTGCAGGACAATTAGTGTCACCTGTTGCATGTTCTGCCAGGTGACAATGGTGATTTATGAGGACACACTGATTGGGAAGAGCTGAGCCCTGGGTTGAAGTGACAATTCAGGAGTTCACAGTCTCGCATAAATCACCTGTCACCCATGGAGCCCTGAGAGCAGCGGGGGGCGGGGGGGGGGGCGGGGACGACAAAAGCTCCAGCTCAGCAGGCAGCTGTCTCTGGTTGTGAATCCTGCCTCGCATCAGCTGGGGACCTGGGCCTCAGTGATGCCGCGCTCCCGCCCTTGTATTTAGAAAAAAGTGGGGGGCGTGGGATTTCACAGGGTCATACATGACAACCGACGCTCATCCTGCCAGAAGTGGGACTCAGCCAGTTCTTGGGGCTCAGTAGACATTTGTTGAATGAATAAATGATGAGACAGAATTTGGACAAGGATATACAGGTAGTGGTTAGGAGTCACACGTTTGAGGTCTAAAGAATGGCTTGGAGTTCCGTGTGTTCTCGGGAAAGTTAAATAGCTGGGAGAACACTATCTATGCCTTAAGAATCGGAAGATTCGAATGTGCTCACACATATAGCATGCTTGGCCCCGGGCCTGGCACGCGGGACGCTGATGTTCAGTGATGAAGATGGAAGCGGTACCGTGGCTCCTGCAGGAGGGTGCATGACGAGGATGTGAAGGGCTGACATGCAGGGGCCTCAGATTGGTAGGAGGTCAAGTTGGACATGAAGGTGGGCCCTGCTGTGGCAGGAAGTGCGACTTCTGTAGTGGAACCTTTGAAAACCACTGCCTCTGGTTTTAAATCCTGGCTCGCATCCCCTGGAATGGGACGGGGTTAGCGAGGGCAGAGTGTGTGGGGGGGAATAGAGGCACTCACCCCTCCAAACCCCAAGAGGGAGGGAAAGAGCCAGCTTGGCCTTAGGCTCTTAAAACTACTTAAACTGGCAAGTGTCTCTGTTTTAAATCGAGGCCCATTCCTGGTGCAGATGCTGGAAAGCGATTTCATGGAGCGCTCAACCTACAGGGCTCAGCCGGCCCCGCCCAGGAAGACCCGGCCACTGTGCTTGGTGGGGAGGGCAGAAAAGGTGGATCCAGCCTCAGGTGGGGCCCAGGGAGCCTGGATGTTACTGCACAGCCTGTTCCCCTACCCCAGCCGACCTGAACACCACCCCAGCCCGCTGAGGGTCTATGAGGAGGAGGCAGGCTTCTCCCAGTGTGGGAGCCTAGGCCAGGACACTGAACAGGGAATCCTGAGGCTGGGCCTGAGGCCAGCTCTGCAACAGAGAAGGGGGCAATGGAGGCCATTCTCTGGGCCTTAGTCACCTTCTCTAGTGAACTGAGGGGTTCAGACTAGGAGAGTGATGAGTCTGGAAGGTCCCCGGGAGGGGGAGGGAGAAAGGGGGAAGTATCTGATATTGCACTCCTAAACTCATTGCCCTTCACATAATTAATCCCCCAGGCAGGCAATATTGTACCCTATTTATATGAATATCAGGTGCAAAGCCCTTAGCAAGGTTTTACAGATGAAGAAACAAGTTCAGGGCTGAGGACTGCCAAGGTCATCACAAGGCAAAGAGCTGTGGGGATTCAGACTTGGGTCCATCTGATCCCAAAGCCAGGAGCCCGTCCCTACAGTCAGTTCAGCTGCTTCACCCCTCTGCCATTGAGGTGCGCAGCTGTGGACTTTGGTCATTCACTTTCACTTTTCAACTACCCGGAGCCCTGCCCAATAACTGATAAATCCAGGGAGGGAAGAGCAATGGGACAAGGACGGATAACATGGACAGGAGAGGAAGCCACATGTTTGGCATCTCCAGGCTGGAGATGTGGTCCCAGTGTGAGCAGGCCAGGTCCCGGGGAGCTCAGCACTGATGGTTCTGAGGCCAGTGCCCACCATTTAAGTTCTCCTTTAGGAAACCTTCTCTAACCGCCCCACCCCCCCAACCCCACTACGTCTGCTCATCCATCAGATACTGATTAAGCACATGCTTCATGCCAGCCCCTCGCAGGCCACTGGGGATGGAGATGGGCATAGAGATCAGTAAAACAGGTCCCAGCTCCCCAGGTGATCCTGACTGGGTGTGGGGCTGGGGGTGCACCCTGCTGATTGGGATTCCCTTGGCTGGGGTGGGACCAGGCACCTGTATTTTTTTAAAGATATATATGTATCTTAAAAAATAAATAAATAAAATATATTGATTATA